AAAAAAAAAAAACAATCACCAATATTTAAGGTTCCAGATACTTTCCTTATTTTCTGATTTTCTGCATGATTTTTCTCCCACTTATCATTCTTTCCAGTACATATTTTTTCCACTGCTTTAATTTACTTTAATTTTGCTTCTCCTCCAATTTCACCAATACCTTTTTCCTGTATTTAATTAAAACTTTTGTTTTTTTTCTTCCTCATCATCTTCAGCGCCTACCGTTATCATTGACATTTTCTGCCGGCTTCACTTGTGATTTCAAGTTCCGCAGATCAAAAAATTACACCAGTTGTAGAAGACATAGAAAACGGCAAAAAGGCGAGAAATTAGGTGAAGATCAAAAAAATGTATCGTTCTAATTTTTTTTAAATTAGATGTTTTTTCTTTTGTCTTTTGTCGACTTGTTTTTCTGCAACTAACTGCTTCTCCCCCTTTCCCCCCTTCCCCCATCTTCCTCGCCTTCCCATACCCCCATCCGTGTCATAGTCCAGTCAATATGTCTGCTTCCGTCAATCATTCCACCTCCTTCATCTATGTTTTCTGATCCATCTCTGTATGCTCACTTTTTAAATTATCTTCTGGATTTTTCCTGCACCTTCATAAACAACATCCTTGTTTCGGCCGACCGCCGAACTCAAACCAAATACATATGCGCAACATTTTCAAACTCAGTAAAATAACCAAGAGAAGAAAGATGAAGAAAAGTAAACAACGAAATCGAAAAAAAGAACAGAATCGGAATTTTGGATAAGAAATTTAAATAAGCAAACGATGCAAACAAGAAATTGCTTTTTTTCTTGCTGACAAATAGAAGATCTAAATTTAAAAACAATTGCATTAATCGTTTGCTGAAAATGAAGATCAATATCCGTTTGGTTTAATTAAAAAAAAAAATATCTTAGCTATTCATTTAAGTTTCCAGTGTGGAGTGCATGTGTTTATGTGTCTCATACATATATGAATATTCCATACTGTAGTTCCTGTTTACTTTTAAAAACAAAAAAAAATAAAAAAAATTTTCCTTTTCTTTCGCAGATTTTAATTTAACTTTTCA